AAAGTAGGGAAAAACAAAAATCAGCAGTAGCTATCCAGCTAACTAAGCTAACGCCAGCTCAATAAGAGTTAAACTTGAGAGCTCTGTGAAAGGGTTTCAAAATGTACCATTAAATGGTTACCTACAGAATATCAAGCTAAAAGACTGATTCTAAAGAACATATACTTTATTTTAAAAAAAGCTGGTCCCAGGTAAGAAGTCACATGGAAACAGTATTGCTCTTGTATTACTGCGTAGAGCTAGTCAGTGCTGGCATTGTAAGTAGGGAAAACGTAACATCAGACTCTGCCATTCTCACATAACCCTGTTCAGAAGCTTAGCTTACATACGGCAGTAGATCTGTGCTTTATGTTAGCATTTTCAAACAGTATGTAACTCTTGTAATGTTACAAGAGAAAAGGCTTTTAGGGTGAGGACTAAGGGTAAGGTTACAGTTTTGGATAAGGAGTTTGCCTGTGGTTCCTGGACTGTAAACTACTGAGCGTAACCTGTAACCCCACAGATAAGGCAGTGTCAAACGCTCCTTGGCCTTGGAAGTAAGGCGAGGTTAGGTTGCTACTATGGGTAGTAAGCTAGTTAGCCAGATATGCTCATTTTACAAGCTTACTTTTGAACATTCCTTACACTTTTTCTCTCATATGTTTGGTTTAAGAAGGGTCATGGGTATGAAAGGGCAATTTGCATGAAAATGTAACAAATTTATACTTAAACTTTATACTTATTTATTTTTTCCCCCTATGATGCATCAATAAAGGAACATCTTGTCTTATCTTAATGTCACTTCTGACAACGCAGATTTTTCCATCTGTGCGGTCGCTCTTCTGTTGAGCTATACATTTGTCATGGCAAACAAGGAACCAAAAAAATAGTCTTGTCATACCACATCTACATAATAAAAGAATGTATTATTGTATTAAAATGATACACATACTGTCACCTTTAAGCAGTGTAGACTACATGTATGGTTGTCTGTATTTCACATTTCTTATATACACAAAGTAAAATTACATGTTAGTGAGATTCTACAGTAAGGGACACTTTGTCTTGCACACTGTCTTACATGGTGACAAACTGAATGTCATATGTATCACAGGACGCACTTCTCCTTTCCAGTCTTTCTCATGGTTGTGAAAGCCTGCCGTGTTTATATATAAGATCGTCATTAACGCTAAATGTTACCCAGGTGTTAGTGTGCGGCAAAGCTTTCTTTTAGCTCTGGCTTGATTTACTGTCTGTTGGTGTATGGGTGTGTATTCAAGTGGTTTCAAGGCCCTTCCTTAATCAGCTTCCTTCAGCCACCGCTTCTCGCACTCTCTTCCCTATTTCTGATTCTCTCACACACGTATGCAATAGTATGTAGGTCTACACCTTTGGGACACAGCAGCAACATAAAACCCAAGCCGCCGCCAGCACACCAGTAAACTGACTCTGATGTCTCTGACAGTCTCTGCTGTGGTCACAACTGCTGCTTACTGAGCTCACAGTGGTGAGGTTGCATAGAAAAGTGTGGGTGTCTTTTTTTTTGAGTTCATATGATTTGCATCTTGTATATACAGCCCAGTTTTGTTTTGAACTTCCAATACAAGTATGGTTTAAAAAGAAAAATGTAGGGTTGCCCTCTGCAGCTGTTACACCTGTTAAACCTCATATTTGTCAAACACCTTAAAAGACATATCAAATTCTTTGTTGGGACAGCATACTTTTACAACACACAACATATTAATAACATGTTTTGTCTTTTTTTGTCTTTTGTACAAAATTACAATTATTGTAGTAGTAGTGTTAAAAGCACAATGCATGCTCTGTAAACCAAAGGTTAGCCATAGCACTAAAATTCAAAACACACTTGGACAGCATTGAAACTCGCTATTTAGTTTTTTAATATATATGCTAACACGAGACAATTACTGAATTTGTAACGATACAAAATATATCAGCAATGTTTGTTAAAGACAGAAACTAGATATGTCTAAATTCTAAATTATAACATTTTAAATAATCAATTTCATAAACATTTATTTTAATATATACAGCATGTGTATGCCTGCAAATTATTTTGATGAAATAGGTTGAAATATACTGTCAGGGTCTTTAAATTTGCACCAGTAGATTTGTATTTTTTTACACTAAGGGGCAAAAGAACTTCTAAAACAAGCAGGGAAACACACACCTCTGCCCTGATATAAATTAAAAAAGTTATTAAGCTGCAAGCAAAGGTTGCCTATCTACACATTCAACAGATGTGGAACACCATTAGCATTCATTTGGAGTCAAGCAACCTGACAAATTTAAGTCTAATAAAGTACCTAGCTGTTTAGCTCCTAAATGCTCCACTGTGTTCTCCAGCTAGTAGCTAACTTTGTCAGTCTGCCATGTGCTGCTGGGCAGGGAATGTATAATGAGTTTTTATCAGAGCCAGTTAGTTAAAAACAATAACCTTCTGCTGGAAAAAAGATAGTTGGGACAAGTGAGATACAATTGGAGTACATTTCTGGATTGTAGAACCAAAAGCAGACGTAGAATTGGGTGTGTGAAATAGCGGCACTCATAATGTTGTGATAGTATACTTCAGTTCATGATTAAATATGGTGGAAACACTGCATGAGCTTTTTTGCCTTCAGTTTCATTTAAAATAGTCGTAATAGTAGTAGTTAAAATTATAAACACAGATTACAGGCACAGAACGTAAGCAAATTGTTGGTTTCACATCCAAGCGTATTAACAGCCGCCTTCAAAGACCTGTAAGAATCCTACACACCTGCAATCCTAATACTCTGTCAGCATGCAGTCATTAATACACACACGTGTGCCAACACACAAACACACACCTCTCTGTAGCACCTCCACCCGCCCCGTCCCACAGCAACAGCGAACAACATCTCATGCTCGTGCTGAGGAAGCTGCTTGCTCCCCAGAGGTGGAAACCACATTAGCATGTACAAGCTCTTATCTTCTGAGTGGCAGCTAATTAGATTCTGTGGCCCTAATATGAATAATCTCATCTGCCGTTCCTTCTCCTGCTTATCAGCCGAGCCTCCAGGTGATGCTGAGGTAAGGACGCAGGCAATGAATGGATAAATCACTTTTCTCTCTGCTCCTTTCTTTTAATCTTTAATCTCTGTTAATGCGTTACACAGCCCAGCAAATGGAAACTTGTGTAATCGCCATGGCTAAATGAATGAGCGGCAACCTTGTTTGTTTTCTGTAATCAGGACTTAAACATCTTTGTTCAAATCAGAACACTGTTTGAGTAAGCCAGTTAGTTTAGCATTCGCACCACACTCTTCTGAGGGATTGTGAACAATACTGTATTTGGCTTTCCTTTACTGACTGACTGATCGGTCTCTTCAGTTATTCAGCCAGAGGAAGAAATGACACACTTCAAACTGGGTGTCCTTAGTTATGGTTAAAAGGAGTCATTCCTTCTGCTGAAAGGAATCTATGTTAATGTCTTCCTACACATGCCATGTATCATCTTCCACGCTGCTTTGAATGAGCTTACGAGTAAACTGACGTTTCCTCTGACTTGTGATCCATACTGTTCTGCCCCCAGACTGTGTTGGCCTCTGCTCACGGTTTGTCTTTCTCAGTCGTGACATAAATTTACAATTACTCATCAAAAGGTGGGAGTGGAAAAGATTATAAAAATATCCTGCTTAAAAGCAAGCACTGTTACCTTGAAATTTGTACATGTTATTGGAAAACAAAACTAAATTAGATATATTTGTATCACTAGTGGAACAAAAAAATGTAACGTTGGCTGGAGGAAGGGATGTATCTTTTGTTGCATAAATCAAAGATTGATCTGCTAGAGCTTCCACACTAAGACAAAGTCAAAACTAGAGCTGCAACAATTAGTCAATCGGCTCCATGGGTTTCCTTAGCCAAATGAAGCTGATTAGATTGGAGCTGCACTATCAACCTTGTTTCCAGCAGCAAGCAACTATCTCAGATATAAATCCACTCTACGCTCCCTGATCAGTTTGTTAACATAGCAGAGCATTTAGCAGCTAAAGAGTCAAATATTTCCCACAAGGAACTACAACAGGGTTAGAAAGAGAGTTAGACTGGACTTACAACTCAAAATCAATATATGCAGCTTTAAACTACTACTACATACACTTGCACAATCTTCTTACAAATGTAATATAAATGGATTTTTCTGTTGATCATTGCCTGATTTGATCTTTATATTGGATACAAATGTTAAAGCTGCAGTAGGTAATTTTTATAAAAATAACTTTCAGGATACAGTGAAAATTTCAGCAATAATGACAAAAGTTATTTTTTACAAAAGTTACCAACTGCAGCTTTAAAGTTAAAATGTAGTGAAGTAAAATAAATAAGTCGTATTATAGTAAAAGTATTACTGACTTGAACAAAGGTTTAGATGTAGAAGCAGCACATACCAAAGCTTTTTACAGTAATTGCCAAATGCAGTCTTCTCCAAGCTCTAATGCATTTCCATGTTTTCCTATCTGAGGTGACGTTTGCTGAATTTCTGTTTCGATATTCACTTCAGCCCGTCAAACCAGGGAAACGCTGAATAATTCACAAGTTTTCTCTTTCCAGTGACAATGTTTGTACCCAACTCCAGCAGCAGTTCTGTTCAGTCCACAACTTAAAACCTTTTCCACATTATTTCCTTTTCCTTTAAAGCATGCAGCCCCACCGTTTACAGAGTCAGAGTTTCCGTATAGGTGTGGATGCAGAACAGTTCTCCTTTTATTCCCCATCTGCTGCCAGAAAACTCCCGAGGATACAAACTACTGTACACAGAACAAGATCAATTTGTTCCTCTGCTGCTTTACTCATTCAGACAGAGATGTCCAGAGAGAGGTCACTTCTCTGGGTTTCTCATTGTTGCATTGCACTCACTAATCATACACTGCTACTGCACACATCTCAGAATATGGATTTGTAAATTGTAGGTGAACATTCTCAGTGTTGTTGAGGACATAATTAGATTCCCCCCCTTTTTCTACTGTGCTCTTTTACAGGCTGAAGGCTCTAGTGTCAACAGGAGGTCGTAGTGTGCAAGCAGCATGTGACTGGTAGGTTAAAACAACAAATGTGTATACAGTGCATTCACATATACACAGCACAAGAAAATGTGTGGTATACTGCCCTCTGCTGTTGAAAGGTGTTGCTTGCAAGTTGTAAACAGTAGGCACATTATATCTTCTGTATTTTGTGGATGATTTCTAATTTTCATATTTAAAGCTGCAGTAGGTAATTTAGAAAATTTTAGAAAAATATTTTTTGTCATATTGGAATATTAAAACTTTCACTATATCCTGACAGTAGTACATGAGACAGATAATCTGTGAAAAAATCAGGTTCCTCTGTTTCATTGTTCAGGCCCGTTGGATTCTTGCTAATGCCATTAGGAGCACTAGAACGAGCCAGAGGAAGCTGATTTTTTGTCTCATGTACTTTCAGGATATTCTAAAAAATATATTTTAAAGTAACCTACTGCAGCTTTAACTGTGGCATCATGTCAAGACTTTACCACAGTTCCATACCCCTCTTTCTCTCTCAAGGCTGTTTTCCCATTTGGATGACCCGTTCCTGGATGACCCTCTGCCCAGAGAGTTTGTCCTCTACCTGCGACCCAGCGGACCTCTACAGAACCAGCTCTCCCACTTCTGGCAACAGAGCCGGGTCACTTGTGGCAAAAACAAAGCCCACAACATTTTCCCCCACATCACCCTCTGCCAGTTCTTCATGGTGAGCTGGAGAGTTTAACTGATACTGCACGGTTTTATGAAGATAGACTATTGGATGATTATATATCCAGCAAACACTTTACATGCAGCATGTGAGCTAATAGGAATATATGTTAAGTGCCAACTTAAAGGTTCCTTGTGGAGTTTTATTTACATTCACTGTTACTCACCAAAACCATCAAACATTTTTAAAGCCAAGATTTTAAATATTTAAAATCCTGCTTTGTTTGCATCCATGTTTCATGGATACAGCATTGGAGGCGGGGCTTTGTTCAGTCCTTTGGATAAAGCCGGTTAAGCCCTCCACTAACTTGAAAGGGGATAAGGTGATTCTAGACCTTCCAAATGTTATCAAATGGATCTAATTTTTATAATAAAATGACTAATTTCCTGTGGGGCAAAATGATCTACCCTTTCATAGCTGCTCCTTTCATTGTGAAAGGTTATGGGAAAAAGTCTACCAAAAGCCATCAAATGTCAATCAATGGAATAGCGTACAACTGCCGGCAATAATGTTTATCGCGTTGCTTGCCCACCTACCTGCATGAATGTGTCTCCTCATATGTATGCTTGAAACAAACAAAACTGGCACCCACTCCTTAAAACATTGCTTTATAGTGCTACTAGTGGTAGACTCCACAGGGAACCTTTAACACGTCATTCTATGTTTGTGTACTGTTGGGCATTTGAAAATTACCAAATGAAATTCGTCCTCTAAAAATAATCAATAATTAAAATTGTGAGTAAAAAGGTTTACTGTGAGAAGAGTAACAGAGCGTTCCTCACGCTCACAAGGGTCATTTATTAACGTTCACCAGCAAACTAAGCGTAAGAATCCATCACCGATTCAACCCGTGAGACAACAGAAAACCCTTTTCTCTTTTTATATCCTAACTTTTAAGCTCACTGCTCCTCTCAGGAGTGCCCCTGCTTCCTCTCGTGTACCAGATGCCAAATATCACCCAAGCCTGTCCTGTCATATCTGAATAAATGTGTTACACTTTTGCATACACCTGCGTCTGAATGACAGTGAGTCATTACTTTAACAGGAATTTAAAGCTCATGTCTGAACATCACCCTTCCTTCTTCCAAACAGTGTGCAGACCACAAAGCAGAAGCTCTATGCGAGGCTCTCCAGGCCACTGTCCAGCAGTGGCGGGGTCGATTTCCCAGCCCGCTGCCTCTAGAGCTCTACACATCCTCAAACTTTATCGGCCTCTTCGTGGAGGAGCTGGTGGCAGACATCCTCAAGCAGTTTGCAGCCGACTTTGCGGCAGAGGCAGCCAGGAAGGCAGGTAGGAACCACTTCAGAAAGTTTCTCAGCATCAGTTCATGGTAGTCACCGTGTAATGTGTGTTGACCTGCTTTCTCTTCCAGTGCTGGCAGTAGATGATTGGACGGGATAGCGGTCATGTTGGGTTGTTAAAGCACTCACTCAATCCGTCACCATGACTCTTTTTAAACACAGCCGAAAATTTGACTGGACTGCCAGACAGCATTTCAGGCAGTGAAGTGCCAAATCAGATTAGAGCCGCGGTGTTAGCGCTAATGCTCTGTCATATTTCTGTTTTACGGTAAAGAGACAGATTAGAGCATGTCATTAAAATCTGATGTGGAAGTGTTGAGTGCCGTTGGTGTTTACTCTGCAGCAACTTCTTGAGCGGAATATTTTTCACAGATAACAAAAGCTGCAGATTTAATGCTTTTTTATGGTGAATTGTCGATGTTACACACTGCACTATATAAAACAAACTCCTTTCTCATCTTTCAACTCCAGAAGTCCATGTGGAGCCTCACAAGAAGCAGCTCCATGTAACTCTGGCCTACAACTTCCCCACCAATCACCTCCCGTCACTGGAGAAACTGGCCAAGGGCATCGAGGTCAAGCTCGGCTGTGATTGGCTGGCAGTCCTGTTCTCCCGGGACATTCGTTTCGCAAACCATGAGGTAGCTAATATTCATACTAACAATGCATGTATCACCAACAGCATCAATACATACTGACTCCTGATTATTTGTTCTAAATGTTCTAAATAACTTAAAATAACTTGTCCTGCCTCTACAGACCCTGCGGGTGATGTACCCCTACACACCACAGAACGAGGATGAGCTGGAGCTGGTTCCTGGAGATTTTGTCTTCATGTCTCCAGTGGATCAGAGCAGCACCAGTGAGGGTTGGGTTTACGGGACCTCGCTGGCCTCTGGGCTGTCTGGCCTACTGCCTGAGAACTACGTCAGCCTGGCTGACGAGTCTGACACCTGGGTCTTCCACGGGTGAGCGGAACACTCTCTCTTTTTATTTATGCTTATACTTATATTATATATATATACACTACTCACAAAAAGTTAGGGATATTTGGCTTTCAGATGAAATTTCAGAATGAAGATGCACTATAACCTTTCCAGGTGATCTTAATTTGACCTTCTACTTAAGTGCCCTACTTTGATGATATAATATCACTGTAGCATCAACTTTTTACATTTTCCATAAATTTCACCCGAAAGTGGAATATCGCTAACTTTTGTGAGTAGTGTATATATATATGTAACACACCCCTGCATATAACAAAAAAGTTCCTTGAGACACATTGAAATGAAAGCAGAGAAAGAAATTCTGTCATTGTATTTATTTTGCTTAATAGCAGTTACATAGGTCCCCATCATTCATTTTTACTGAAGTACAGCTCAGGTAAACTAAGTAATATTTTTTTTAACAACCATAAAACTGCATCATGGTTTTGAGTTTCATATTTTAGCCAAGATCTCAGGGCTCCTGCATTGTTAACCTCATATCGCAAAAACCTTTCTCTTCATCTTCATGTTTTCTGTTAGGGAATGTGTTGCCACATTTCTAATAGCATGTAACGCAAAAACATAGCCCAACTTGGGTAGAAAGCACCAAATAGTAGTAAACCTCTGGTACGGTGGACAGTGAGGGTCACATTTAGCTCAGCCGTAAACATTCAAAAACACAGCAATGTAAACCTGTCCCTACGCTGTGATGCCAGATTATTTACTGGCCACCTGGCTGGTGACCCAAAAAAGTTTACTTGCATTTGCTGCATGAGAGACAAAGACAGAGATGCACATCAATAACAATGGCAACAGTAACAACTATACTAGTAGAAATACCAGTTTGAAAGTTAGGAATTAATGATATTAAACCTGAACCACTGCAGTGTTTGGTGGTAATCTCTTCTAAAGGAGAACGCGTAGAATTGTTTTGCACAATAAATACAAAACCTTATTTTAAAAAGTTCCCCTTAGTATGTTTTCAGGACAAATGTTTCTTTAGCTCCTATATGACAAAGCTGTGTTGTTAAAGGGCCAGTGTTTAGAATTTAGTGGCATCTAGCGACCTAACCCTCTGTAAAAACAGCTCATTTTAAGGTAACAAAAACACAATGATTCTCATTTTCAGGTGCTTATACATTAATGAAAACATATCTATAAATATTATATTCCATTTCTGCCAAAAGATCCTCCTAAATGTTACACACTGGACCTTTAATACAAGAATACTCCACGGATCATCTTTCCTCAGTTGCTAAAAGAAACAAGTGATTTAATGTTGCATACTGTACTGTTCTCCTCGTCCACCACAGCTCCCATTCATTCTTCAGCTGTGGGCCCAGTGAAAAGACCAGCAAGGATAGAGGGATGTTTGACGGACTGCTGGACAGCCGACGCCCTGACAACACGAGTCCTGGAGACACGCCCACCCTCAGTCTCATTTGCCACCCAATGCAGGTAGCTTTGTGTTCATAACTGATGAAAATGTTCACAATTCCTGTAATACTTGCATTAAAATTCAACATGTATGCTATCACAAAGCCATGTAATTGACTTTTATTTCCAGCAGGTCCTGCGGATCAGCGGTGGTCACTCTCGGCAGCCGAAGAGGACGCTTTTTGTCTGTCGACACGGTGAGAGGATGGACGTGGTCTTTGGCAAACACTGGCTCTCCCTCTGCTCCGACAGTAAAGGTGAGAAGTCAAAGGGTTGGGCTGTTTCCCTCCACTTTAAAGAAACCACCTTACATCTTAGAGCATGTGTTTCTATTGTCCTGCAGGTAGATATGTACGCTCCAATCTGAACATGCCTCCCAGTTTGCCGCTGTGGGGAGACAAGAGAGATTACGACATGGACGCTCCCATCACTGTGTTTGGATCCACGCAGGCTCGACTAGTGGGTACGTCCCCAATATGGATCTTTTTGATGCTCTAATGATGTTGTTGCATTCTGTATGTGAAATGTGCTAAACATGTGCTCTTTTCAGGTGAGGCCCTGTTAGAGAGTAACACAGTCATAGATTTTGTGTACTGCTCTCCCTCCTTGCGGTGTGTTCAGACTGCACAGAACATCCTCAGAGGTAAGAACTCTTCAAGAAAATATCATTGATCAGGGATTCTCCAACATTTAAACTCAGGATAAAGACGATCATGTTGAATTTAATGAACTTAACAGAAATTAGAATGTAGTGTGCTGGGGATGTAATGAGGGTGAGCTCTGATGAATTGTTTGTGTGAACAGGTCTGCAGCAGGACGGTAAGCTGAAGGTGCGAGTGGAACCGGGGCTTTTTGAATGGACCAAGTGGGTTTCTGGGAACTCTCTGCCTGCATGGATACCTCCCACTGACCTGGCTGCAGCCCACTTCAGCGTGGACACAACGTACAGGTGATACACACACCATGTGCAATTAATTATATTCAACGTGAGTCATTAGTAATGTAAATGTATTTGTCATCTGCTTTTATAAAACGATTCGTAGGTGTTTGCGTACCAGAACTGTAAAGAGATTGTATTATTTAGTGTTTTTGGTTGAAGCATGTCTTAAAGTCTGCAGTACCTTGTAAATTCTGTAAACCAGCTATGTCCATGTCAGGATCCTGTAGGAATTTTCCCAGTGATTTGATTGGTCAGTAGAAGGACTGTTGACATGGTTTGATATGATAACCCTGACTGGAGCATTTTAGCAATGTAGCATAGGTTACCGTGTTGACCTAACCTGGTTAAAAGTTTGTGATTTCAGAAAACCTGATTTAAGCTCAAAGACAAATGGCTAGCCCGCTAATCTCGCTCTGTGATCATCGACTGTGGGCATTTTTCATTAATTTCTATCAGGGATGCATGATCTATATATCAGGGCATATATCGGTTAGTGGTATCGACTGAAGAAAAAATCATACATCCCTAATTTCTTTTCCTCTAATGTATAGAAACAAAACAGTGGAATGTTCTCAGATAAAATCCTTAAAGTGCTGCCCACGTCCTCCACCTACACAAATATGTAGCCTCTGTGTGTATAGTGGGATGGTTCACACAATACGTAACACATACAAAGCCATAGCATATTCAAATGTTACAATGTATACAGTTTCATTTGTCTGTTTTTAACATCTGTGAATAAAAATATTCTGCATATACTGTATAATATTCATACAGGCTACCTGCAGCAGTAGTTCCTCCTCCTTTATACCTCTGAAGTATCTGCAGATAGTTTTTACTTATATATATATATATATACTAGTGTTGTTTGTGTGTGTGTGTGTGTGTGTGTGTGTGTGTGTGTGCGTTGTGTGTGTGTGTGTGTGTGTGTGTTTGAAATTTAATCTTTTTTCACTGAAAACAACCTCAAACCACAGTGCACTTCCAACAAAAGCCTCCACTCAAAGATTTATAGAACAACTGCAACACAGTTCTTACATGTGCCATTGGTTATCTAATACAGTGGTTCCCAACCTGGGTCAGGACCCCCACTAGGGGTCACCAAAACTATATCTCAGCATCAAATTGTTATTGTCATTTTTCTATATATTTTTTTATTGCCTTGGTACATGGGGCACTAGCTCTACCAGGTGAGCTACTGGCTTAATTACACAAACTTCCTGCAGTTATTGTGTTCACTATTTGGATTCATTGTAAGGTTTATCAGTTGTTTTCTACTGTTATTGATATACATTTAATATGAAATATCCATAAATATGTCTCTTATTCAGGGGCTGTCCATTCACTCAGTGATAGAAAAAGGGGCCCCTTAAGTGAAAAAGGTTGGGGACCACTGTTCTAATACTTGGTATTTGTCTCCATACAGACCTCTGATCCCAATCAGCAAGCTCACTGTGTCTGAACCCTATGAGAACTACATGAGCCGGAGCTACCAAGTGACCAAAGATATCCTGTCAGACTGCAAAAACACTGGTAAGAGACATACAGCAGAGCTCCTGCAGCGTCTGGAAGATGTTCTGAACTTTTACTTAATTGTTTGTCCACTGCTGATGTTGCATCCTGCCTGGGTTTCCACTCTCCGTAGGAAACAACGTGCTGATTGTAGCCCACGCTTCTTCCTTAGAGGCCTGCACACGCCAGCTGCAGGGCCGCAGCCCACAGAGCGCCAAGGACTTCATCCAAGTAGTCCGAAAGGTCTGCATATCTTCTTTTTTTTTATCTAATCCATCAGATTTTTTTCCTCTTATACATCCCACTTTTCTATCCATCCATCATTACTTCCATCTGGTTTCCTCAGTTCCTCTCCCAGTGCACATTGTGGCTGTATGTGCAAAAACATGAGTGTATACGCTGAAAACTCCACTCCATACATCTTACCCATGTGTATGAATGAAAGAAAAACACACTCAAACACTTTTTTATTTGCCAGCTAAAGGGGAAAACAGATGATGTTTTCCTACATTGTAGAATATAAATGACAAGGTTAACTGCTCCATCATTCTCTGAATTAATGTGCTACAACATAAAAGTGATACTATTCGGTTTATATGAATAAAAAACAGCCTGATTTAAGTCAGTTTTTCCTCTGGGATTTTAAGCATGTTACATTTAAGTTCAAATCCCAGCTTTTCCAGTTTGATCACTCTGACCTGGTTTAGTAAACATGGAGGCGACTGGGGAATTGCTTGTTCTTGTACGCTCAGTGGCATACTGTTTGTGGACTACATTTTCCACTTTAGATAACAGTTCTTTGTTTGGTTGCTCATTAGTGGGAAACTGGGTTTGCAAGCTTTTGTTACTCAGGTCAGTGCCCTTTAGTGTTTGTCTGCATGTTCTCTAACAAAACAAAATACTGTTTATTCCCAGTTTCTTCTTTTATTTTGACAAACAGAGCAAGACTTTGGACTTTTGGAACTAAAATGCCTAAATTACAACAATTCAAAGAAATTAGGTCAAATACAATACACATTGTTATATGTATACTGTTTCCTTTTTATATATGTATGCACTATTATAATTAAATGAAATGCATGTTAAAAAGACAATTATTTAGCTTTTTTTGTCTTTAATAACAACCTAATTAATTATATCTATATATCTTCTATATTTTTTTTTTCTAAATGTGATGAAAATTATGACATAATTACCATGTTGTTTTGGCACTTGTAGTACACCACAGAACATTAATCATCATATGTGCTACATATTTCAGGAGTTACATGCAGCTTGTTTATTAATGATCTTTTGGGGGGGCAATTTTACAAAATTCTTGCACCAAGTCTGGTCTAGGTGAAACTCCATCTATGTTTAATATTAATTTTCTCTAACATAACAACATTTTTGTGAGTCAGTGATAGACATACACATGCATTTTATAAAACTAATATAATATAAGAGCTTTATTAAGAACAGAAGAAAAAGGTCCTGTTAATATGGCACAGTTTTTAGTTGCCCTATCCCTCATTCTGGAAGAATACATTCAAATGTGACTTTTAAAAATGTTTTTTATAAAGTAAATAACTCTAAACAATACATTTGTATGTCATTGTGACCAGTTTGGAGTTGATGGGTTGAATGCAGGATGAGGCAGCAGACATATTACAGAGAGAAGCTCATTTTGTCATGGGAACAGAGTGCTTTCAGTAATAGGCTGGCTGACCTCGACCAGCCAGAGCGGTCTGGTTCTCCTTCATTAGCTGGCCTGCTGTCTCTTTTGATGCATTGAGATCAATAAAGCTCTTTATATACAGCCGCGGTTTGCCTGCTTTCTGCTTCAGCAGCGTCCACAGTCTAACCCATCTGAGCAGATTTTAACCAAGAGTAAGATTTGTTCCTTAATACCTGGATTTCAGTATGTAGACCAATATAGTCCACTCTGTCTGTGTCATTGCTCTCTCTCTTAACATGTGCAACAAATCACACAAAACAAAGCCATTTCAGAAAAACTAATGAACTTAGACTTGGACAATATACAACTATTAATTCCTCTGCTTGGTCCTCAGATCCCCTACCTGGGCTTCTGCTCCTGTGAGGAGCAGGGAGACACGGGGGTGTGGCAGTTAGTGGACCCTCCCATCCTCCCCCTCACACACGGACCAAACCACAGCTTTGACTGGAGGGAGACGCTCCTGCAGGAATGACCTCTGATCCGTGCTCCGCCCAACCCGATCATACTGTACTCCCACAGACTGCAGGAACACGTTTCAGACCAGTGCCCCCCAAATACTGGAACCATTCTCTTTTCAGCCTCTTTACACAGCTGGTGGTTTAGCAGTGAAGAAGCTTCCTGCCTGAATAGCCGGTGAATGGTTGGTGAACTGACTGCCGCCCTCTGAGGCTGGTTTCATGTCCACTCTCAAATTTGATTCTTTTTCTTGCCAGAATGAGGGAGACGTTAGTTTGGGCAGTTAGCTGCGCTGTGTGGGAGAGCATGTCCACATTGTCATCCCAGTCTCCGAAAACTTTGTGAAATTAGCATGAAGGATTAAGTTTTACCAACATGAATGTTTTACATGAAGTACACAGGACTGTAGCAGGAGTGGGACTAGTAATGGCATAGAAAGCAAAAGCATGGAAAGGTTAACTTTTTTTTTTAGCTCAGTTTTATTTTGAACTTGTCAGTTTAGTGTATTTCCACTGTAAATGTCTGCATTTCACAAATCCAAAATGTGTAAGTTTACTAAATATAATATATTTCTAAATTTAACTGTTAGCTAACGTTAAACATTAGGTGTGTCCATCACTCCCTCATTTACTTACTCACTAATGTCATTTTAGTTATTGACCACATCCATTCTGTTTTTAACTGACATATGTGTGACTAAAGATGTGTAAAGATAGACATGAAAAATGTTGCATGTTAACGGGCTAACATTAGCAAGGCTAAGATCCGCCCTGAGCTGGATTACAACATATCTCACATGCTAAATCATTCAATATGTAAGCCTGATAACATATTGTGTCAGAAGATAGTGTAAACCAGTGATTCCCAACCAGGAGTATGGGGACAAATTGTAACTTAAATAATTAGAAAGAATTAAATCAATGATTTGATTTAAAAATACGTCAGTGTATGCCAGTTATAACAATTAATTTATGTGTTACTGCACTTAACAGTGCATGAAAACTAGTTAGAAAGCGAGCAGAGGAGATGTAATTGTTAGCTGAAAGTAATGAATAAATGGTTGGAACGTCCAACTTTTGCCAGTCTGTGTGGTTGTAGTACGAAAACCAGTCCCTCCAGAAAAACGCAATTATGCGATCGCATAATTCAATGCATCAGCCATCAGCCAAAGTCCGCATATTTATGCGGGGGCCACATTTTTTCAAATACGCCGCACTTTTGCCGCATAAATTGCCGATTTCCGCGCAAAATATGCGAGGCTTGCATGATTTCATAATCCCCGCATTTTCGTTGCAAAAAAAGTCACATATATCTTAGCAGAAAGTTGAAAAATGTTGCGTTTACTTCACACAAGAGCAGCCATTTTCCCCTGTTGCCATGGGAACGTTATGAAGTGACGCAATTACGCGACGTGAACATCATCAAAAAGCTGCAAACCCCGCGATGAAGCCGCAATTTTTGCAAGTTCCCGCAATTTCATCGCATAAAATTGCATAAATATCCCGCATATTCCATCGCATTGTTTAAGAAAACGTGCCGCATAATCAAGGATTTTTGCCAGCAACATTCACGAAAAAACTCTGCGTTTTTCTGGAAGGACTGGAAAACAAACTTGACCAATTGAAACATGGCAGTTTAATGTATGAAAATAGTGTAACATCCCCTATTTTATCCACCAACCTATCTAGTGGTGTTGATGAAGGGGCACTTGAGTTCATCGGGCAGGGCTGTGGAGGTACGTCTGGAAAAAAGTTTGGGAACCACTGCTGTAGACCAGTTGATTTGGTTCAGAACATCCCACTAATGTTAAGGATCTATTAACAAAGTAGTGTCCATGTTGTTCGTTCATTCAAAGATTTTATTTTCTGGTGTATAATGTGCATTATAGCCTCAGTGGGTTGCTCGAGTGGCCGTAGACTTTCTGTTCTGTGGCAGTTGCAGTCTGATGTTGGGAACAGTAACTAAATGTTGCATAGTTTGTGTCCACAATATCTTATTTGAGTTAGTGCTTATTTCACAAAATTGAATGAGACTGTTGAGAATTTGTAATGAGAGTGTATCATAGCAGTACTGCTTTCCTGCACAGATCTCAGCAGCATTACTTCATCATACAGTAAATGTCGTCTCAGCTCGAACCACAGGGCTCCTGGCCAGGGTTAAAACAGATGGCATTGATTGTTGTTGTTTTTAAAGGGCATTCTTTGTCCTCCTAACCCTGGCTTCAATCAGGGACTTCCCTGATGCTACCCACATAACGTGGCCACACAAGTTTTCTCTATTTTGCCACCACATGTAGCACACCCAGTACAGCAGTGTCTTCTACCGTTCATGCAGTGTATGTAAAAATGAAACAACCGCAACTATAACAGCACAACCTGCACTATTGACAATCACACAGTAGCTTCTTGATTCTGCTCCAGCACATTTTTAGTGTGCGCTTGTTAAATGGTGTTCAAGGGGTTCGGAGTAGCTGTAAATAATCATATTTTGAGAAAAGTCTTCCAGTTGCATTTTTTATTTATTTATAAACTTTTCTTTCAGATGTTACAAGCATAGATATTAAACAAGAGGATCATCACTTTCAGCATGCAAGAATTTATGCTCTGTATCTCAGGTGTTGACTGCATTTAAGACATAACGTATATGCAGCTTTGAAAAGTGTTCCACTGATTGAGTGACTGTGTTGTTGTGAGTGCCTCTTGGAATTAAAGTGATGTCTCCTGATGTACTGACTGCCTGCTCGTAGATACAGTAGAAGTAGTACGTTACATCACTCGTAAACATAAAGTTTGCTCAGGCTGATACTTGATGCACATCACACACACGTAGTGTATTAAGACGTCATAAAAGTTTTGAACTCATCAGTCTCATTTATAAAATCCCTCTCGATTCGACATTTTGCAGTTTTTGAGAAATATTTGAATTGCTTGGAGAAGTGACAGTTATCTGTCCTGTCTCTGACAGTAAGTGCTTTCTGAAGCCTCATTGTGGAAACGTGCTTCAATACATTTCCCTTATAGCATTCAAGTTAAGTTTCAGTTGTGTTCAGCAGGATTTCACCCCTAAAATACACCAATCTTGTCAGCTTACACCTAAAAGTGTGGCTGTAACGGAGAACATTGATTCCCAACCGAATCAGACCCTGCATTTATTCCACCAAAAGAATTGTTAAATACGAGCTGTCTCCCATTTTATTTCCAAATACGTCACCAAATGTGTGAGGAAAGGCACAGCTCACTACATTTAGTGCAGTAAATAAATAATTCAGTATTTCTCCACCTGAAACGTGTTCTCAGACGTAAACGTAAACCAACAATATAGATCATGTAATGTAGAAGTAACGACGTTCATATCTGTACTGCCAGTGATATGTCACATGAGGTTCTGTGTGCTTACAGGAACCTTCACTGTGTTAATGTATCCTGAGCATCAAGCTGCACAGTACAGAGCTGTGTTCTAACCTTTTAACGTGTTCCAGTTCTGCCAGGAGAATTTTTTGAGAGGACAGAAAAAGCAGAGAAACAGTTTAGCTCAACAACTAAATGTGTCCTAGCTGTGTCTCAGTGGTGGAAACCGTAAACTGCTGACTCAGGTAAAAGTGACTTCCTGAAACTGCCACTGAATGCTGAGCATTTCAGTGGAATAGTTTGCCATACATCAGCCTGTTTGGGAACTGGTTCACTTTCTTGCTGAGAGTTAGATCATGAGAACAAAACCACTCTGTCCTCTAAATATGACCCCAGAGCTGACAGGAGATTGGCTTGGTAGCTTAGCTAGCCTGTCTCTGCCCAAAGTTCAGAAAAACGCAGACCAACGCCTCCAGATCTCTTTTAATTTTTTTTAGAGCTCAGGGATAGGATGGTAACTTTAGTTTTGATTGAAACTAGAGAGTGATAGTAACCTTCTCCTATAACTCTCGGCAAGAAATACGCATGTTCCCGAAAATGTAAACTATAAATTTAAAGAGCACCCTGAGCACTTTACACTATCCTTTGCTTTATATGTATATAACTGAATCATCATTCTAAAAAAGCAATGTGAACACACCCTTTATCTAGTAAGTTGATTTGCTCATAGTTGTCTCATTGAAGCATCACTGAAATCTATTATCTGCCCTGTAGCATTATCATCTTTAAATTCATTCAGGAATAAAGTGCAACATCTACTCAGAAAACATCATCACAAACATGATTCATTTCCTGGAGCATCAAAGATTCCACTGAATTCCTACGTCAATGTTGTCCATTTTGAGAAAACAGATTATCTTTGTCTTTCATCTGAAAACCATTACCAGTAACGTTGTTGAATCCAGTGAAACCGCCCTGTCGCTGTGCAACTGTTGCAAAAGCTTCACTGACGCAGGGAGGCAGTGGTCCAGGTGTTGGGACGAATTACTCTGCTATTACAGAAATGTGAAAGGTTTTTTTTATTCATTGGACTTAAATGTCATTTTCATCACACGACATAGCCGAGCAGCATATGTTGTATTAAAGAGTTTCTATAAAATAATACCTTCATTTAGAAGAAGAGAGTCATGTGAGAGAGACAAAGGAAGAAGCCATGTTGTTCCTGTGTTCTTTATTTATTGTCTGAACATATCACCAAACGTGTACAGCAATTAACTTAAAGTGAAATTGATATGTGTTGATTTGTGATGTAAGATGAAGTGTGTCCGCAGGCTTCATTTACATTTTTATTTTAGTTCTGATTCTATCTTCTGTTGCTGTTCGTGAAGCATCGAGTTATGAAGAAAAAAGCTGTCCTTTTCAAACGGCTCTGAAAAAAATATTTTCATATTGTGAATCCTCTGCAGGGCTCAGGAGGGAAAGTAAGTAACATGTCGTTCTATGATTTGTGGTGACGGAGTTCATTTGCAGTTTGGTTCTTCTAATTTAACATGGAACAAAAGCATCCTTTTCTACATAGCAATAACATTATAATACAACAAGTGTGCAAAGTTGCTATTTATCTGCAAATACTGTAAAGAAGTACAAACCCAATAAAACTCTACATCCTTCTTTTTGTCTTTTCTTGGGAGTGTATTCAGAATGAATGTAGTAAATCAGAGCTGACCAGTGAATACTTTCTATCTCCAATAATTGAGGGATATTACACAACACAAGTTATTGTCTTTCAGTCAGAACAAGAATGTTTTTCTTGACATTTTTGAGATTCGATTCCCCCAAACAACAGCAATAAGCTGCTTCTTTAGATTTAAATACAGATTAAAAAAGCAGTGATAATGGTAAATACTGTACATAAGTTAACAATGAGTCAGTGTAGGCAGTTGGACTGATATCACCAGAGTATTAAATCTATGCTTTTGTCTTGAAAGAGTTTACCTTCCTTCAACTTCCATGAGTTTGGTACCACTGCATTTATTGCTTCTAGAAACACATTTTTAAGCTTTTTAACTTAATAGTAAGCAGCCAGTGCTAGAATACAGCAAGTGTCGCAGTGAAATTGTTTGCATTGATTCTATGTAAGGAATAATGCCCGGCCATTATCAGCTGTGCAGCAAGTGCCTCTGGTTTTAAACTTCCACGTGTGAACTGCTCCCCATTAAAGGACCAGTGTGTAGGATTTAGTGGTATCTAGCGGTATAGTAGCAGATCACAACTCTGTCGCTTCACCCTCCCCTTCCAAGTGCAAAGGAGAAACGATTGTGGTGCTGAAATGCCCAAAAACATGAATGCCCCTGTTTGGTTTGTCCTTTCTGGGCAACTGTAGAAACATGGCGTATACCTATGAATATTATATTCCATATCTACCAATAGATCCTCCTAAATGTTACACACTGGACCTTTAAGGCCTGCAGTTATTGGCAAATACAGATTCCTTCAGTCACAACACAGATGAAACTATAACTCACTGTACCGTCAGTCAGACATTCTGGTCTGATCTTGATAACCAGTAAATTGAATCAATTAAAAGTTGATATACAGGTGCACCCTGGTAGCTCAGCTGTAGAGCTTCTCCCCCATGTATGTAGACTAAGTCCTTGCTGCAGCAGCCATAGGTTTGCTGCATACTTACATACACACCCAAGCTCATTAAAAAAAACTGAAACTGTACTCACATTTAAAAACTGCACAAACTCCACTGCTGTGAAAACTGGAGCCTAATTTAATTAAGAATGACATTTGAAATGTATTTTGTTCAATTTGATAATTCTTTATAACTGTTTCATTGTTATTTGTGTACTACCTCGAGCATACATAATATGTATTATTATTATTCTGGTTACTATCTTTGGAATGGTGACCATGTTGTTAACATTCAAATTGAAATGTTTAAACTTAAAATGAAAAAGGATCACAGCTGAGGGAGGCCTCTCCTGAGAGGAAAGGCTTACAGGAAACAACCTGCAGCAAACAATTAAACACACAAGAACTTCATCCTGGTGAGTTAGAACAACATAATTCAATGAAAGGTCCAGTGTGTAACATTTAGGAGGATCTATTGTCAGAAATGGAATATAATATTCATAGGTATGTTGTCATTAGTGTATAATCAGCTGAAAAGAAGAATCATTGTGTTTTTGTTACCTTGAATGTGAGGGAATACAGAGGGAGTGGGTCCCCTTCTATGGAGGCCGCCATGTTGTACCACCATGTCTCAACAGTAGCCCAGAACGGACAAACCAAACACTGGCTCTGGATAGGGCCTTTTGCCTTTTTTGCAGCCACGTAGTTCCTCCTTTACACTTGGAAGGCGCGGTAATCAGTCGGTTGCATTCGGCAACTTCACCACTAGATGGCTCTAAATCCTAAACGCTGGTCCTTTAACACAATAGTTCAACATTTTTAGAAATATGCTTTTTTCTCCATAGTTAGACAAGATTGATAACATTACTACTGTCTGTGTGGCAAATATGCTGGAGCCAGCAGTCAGTTTAGCCTAGCCTTAGCACAAAGACTGGAAACAGCTAGCCAGGCTCTGAAGAAACTGTCAAACACGTAACCCATCATTTGTCATTTTAATGCTTCAGTTTGTGTTCAGGTTAAACAAATGAGACATAACGTGTTAATACATGTACTTTTAGGGTGCTGTTAGGCAGATTTTGTTACCTTCAGATCTCTAAGCTAAGCTAACCGTCTCATAGCATTCAGTACATTAGTACAGTAGTATTCTCATCCAGCAAGCTAACTCACGGCAAGAAAACAAGAAATATCTTCTTTCCTCTTTAACATCTATTATGCAATTTCAGCTGACTAGATGTTGGGTAAAACTGGTGCAAGAGTCTGGAGCCTAAGCTGATGAAGAGGGCCGAATAACCCATCATGTTGCAAACTGTCGAAGTGAACACGGAGCCTCTGAAATGGCCCATCGCTCCAGATGGCTACATCCCCAACTCTGTGATCCGGAGCTGGAGGAGGAAGGGGAAGGAAGTCAACATGATGCCCTGTTGGAGCGACATCTTTCACAGTCTTCCCCAGGCGGATGAACAGGAGGATGTGAGCACAAGAATCTTCTGGTTGATGGAGGAAGAGGAAGAGGAAGAGGAAGAAAAGACAGATGACGTGAAAAGGAAGGAAAAAAAGGCAGAAGAGAAATATAAGAAAGACAAGGTGGAAAAAACTGAGGTAGAGAGAAAAGAAAGGGTGGATGAGGACAAAGGAAAGGAAGAAGACAAAATGAAGAGACCTGTCCTCGTGAAGCAGTCCTATATTCAGCCAGACCAGCCGAAAACAGCTGATGATGGAAAACTGAATGTGGTGCCTCAAGAAGTCAGTCCAACATACAGTTCAAGAAAGACTGTGAACTTCCCGTAAGTGTTACAACTGAATAATGGTTCGCAATTACTCATAACGTCCTTTGCCAGTGACACAAATCCCCACAATGAACTGTGAATGTATGTAAACTCTTCAAACATTTTTTTCTAGACCAACCTCCTGTCTTGAAAATGGACCTAAACCACTAAAAGAGCTGAGTGAAGACATGAAGCTTCCTGAAACCATCACACCCCCACTCCAGTATCCCTCTGTGCCCAGTAAACCAACTACATTCAGTTTTATTCAGAAAGGTACTAGCCGGTGATGTTGATATGACATTTGGTTATTTTGGCATGCACAAGTGAATTTCACTTTTTTTTTTTTACATTTGAACAGAGCAGAGAGATCCTCCAGTGGAAAGTCCTGTGGTATCTGCAGTCACTCTAATCCCAAAGCAAGGTTACTGTCACCAAGACTACATACTGTATATAATCATTCAATGCATGAAGAAATGGGGCCTCATGCAAGAACCACTCACTCATGTGAACAGAGTTGTTCTAATGTGGCGAGTCAAAGTGAGTAAGAGGTCTTTCCCTTTTTCTCTCATATACGAACAATATTCACAAACAGTCCAGAGCTGCTGTAGTACGGCTCTGTGACAAGCGTGGCTCTTGGGATGGCGATGTTGGTTGGTTGCTCCACCACACAGACTGAAATATCTCAAATTCTAGTGGATGTGTTCCTCAGAGGCAAATTTTGGGATTATCAAAGTCATTAGGTTTAATCATCCACCATGAGGCTGACATTTGAGATTTTTATTTAAATGTCTCGCTATAATGATTCACTGACTTTTCATCTCACGCCATCTTCAGATCAAACTTTAATCGATCCAGTTCTATACTTTGATTTATGAACACAGACTTGCAAATCGTTATATTACTTTTACTGTACTTAAAGTCCCAACAAGGAACTTTCATTTTGTGTTGATTTTGCCGGCCCCTGTGGACAAAAGAAGCAGTGTATCCACCGCCTCATTTCATTGATTTCAAGGGGAATCTGACTGGATCCGACCAGATGTCTATGTAACTATATAAAAATAGCCAGTCTTCTCTTTGATGGTCTTGTTTATGTAGATCATAAAGAGTCATCGGTATTAAACTCTTAAACCATCTTGACATAGGCTATATATGATATATTCATGTGTAGTACCTGTCTACATCCTGTTCTTATCTGTTCATGACTGGTTGTCACTAAAGCAGAGCATGTGAGCGGAGCAGACCGGGTGAATATTTCCACTCCTCGCTCACAGACCTCGCATTCTCCACTCCTCTCCACTCCATCATAAATTTTATCCCGCTCCACTCGCTCACCACTCCGCTCAAAAAAAAAAAACCTGCATCGTACAACCCTCACCTGCAATCTTCTATTCACAAATAAAACATGAGCTTAGCCGTTTTTCCCCAGGCTACGTATTTTCATTTCATTTAAAAAATACTTACCACAACCCAACTCAACTAAGACATAAGGGTAATGTTTCATTTTTAAGCCGACAAAAACAGTGAGCTCCTGTAGTAGACTGCTGTGTTTCCGAGAAATGTGTTCTTTTAGATTCCAAAACGACTCTTTACCGACTGCAACAATGTCGCCGCGTTCTTTTTCTTGTTCCACATTATCCCCATCTGTTACTTTTACAGGAATAGTACACTTGTACGACTTCTCAGTTTCTTTTCTGAAGTACACATTAAACTCCAGAGTTTTGAAAGAAAATAGTGTGGGGGTGCGCGAAGGTGCAAAGATGCATTCTGGGTGGGGCATGAGCGACCGGAGCGAAATTGGAGTGAGAGATAAGGCTCCGCTCCACCTTTTAAAAAAATTGCCGCTCCTCGCTGAACACAAAATCCTTCCGCTCCCCGCTCCCCTCATATGATCTGCACTAAAGATATACATTACTACATTATTACACAACCTGTCTACATTACAGTCAACATTCTATTTTTTCCTATATTTTAACTTCTGCACTATTTATGTCTTATGTCTTCAATTCTCATTTTGTCATTTCTAATTTTACATGTGTGATTCTCTTTTAGAACCGTATATACCATTTTGGGACATAAATTAGAATAATGATCAAATACCTATGACAAAAGCTGAAACAAGCTTTTCGTGAAGTATTTTGCTGAATCGAACTTGCAAACCTCCCAGACCACGTATACAACATAAGACGTATAAGATAAGATTTGAAAATGTTCTTGCCTGAGGCCACATTGCTTCTACAGTATTTAAATCAATATTCTTGATATTTCACATTCTTCGTGTTACATCTACCTCTCCATACTCCCAGAACCCAGGATAACCTCATGCATACCACCTACGGAACCCAAAAGCCTGACTCCTCAAACTCTGAAGGCTCCACCTCCAAGCCCAGATGATCCTCAACCCCAACTAAACCTTGGGCCTTTTGAATGCTTACCAATTGAGGATAAAAGGTTACTCCTGTCTTCGACCAAATATAGCAACATCACCGCCCAAGAACATGTCCCCCTTGACCGAAAAGTCTTTGAGCTCTATAGAAAGTTGAAATTCGGCAAAAAGATCTCACATCTTGGAAAAGTCTCCACCAGAGCTGAGCGCCTTCTTGCATCTAAGGCTGCACACGCCACCTTTCAGACTAACACTGGGAGGGTGAACCTGAACAGTTGTCTTGGTAAATCTCCTGAGTTGAGGGCTACACTGTCCACGGTTCAAACTCAGCCACAAATGATCATCAACCCTGAAGATCCCAGCCACTCATTCGGGTCTAATTATCCTGCAGAATTTGCCCAAACTGTCCTTCCCATTAAAGACCACAAAAGCCACAAGTCCATGCCTGAGTGGAGAAGGAACCTGTACAGCATCTTTTCCCTCCATGGTTTCCGTTCCCCATGGGCAGCAAGGTTGTTCGCCACAGAACATCCAGTCAAGTCTTCCAATGCCAGACAATTTGTGGCAACCATCCCCTCGCTGCAGCCTGGCCAGGCAGCAGCACACCAGAGGGTGGTACAAAAGATTCAGATGAAAGACCACCTAGAGCCGGACCCCTGTTACTTCCAATATGTGATCCCAATGCCCTCCCAACACAACTTCTACACTTTGAATCCCTGTGGGAAGACTCAGTACGGGAGGCTGCAGTTTGACTGGATGAGGGGATCAGAGGACAGGCTGCAAGTGTCTGCCGCTAAGTTCAAAGATACTGCAAAGTTGTTGATCAAAGCGGATTCTAACCATCTTAGCAGACCTGCCTAACAACTAACCAACTCTTGCACCATTTCATTTGGAGCTTATTTGTTCGAACAATTAAACGTTCTGTGGAGCCTTATCTTTGTCTTCACTTTAGTCAAGTTATATAGTAATTTAGGTTGAAAATATGGCAATGTTGGGTGATAGGTCCACTACTGTGGTCTAGACTGAAATATCTCAACAAATATTGGATCAACTGGCATTACATTTTTTATAGATATTTGTGGCCCCCAGAGGATGAATCCTGCTGGCTTTGGTTATCCCATGGCCTTTCCTCTAGTGGCACCTGCAGGTGACAATTTTCCATTCTCCAGCAAAATACCTCTTCATGTATTTGATGGATCGGCCCCCCAAATACCTGCAAAACCATAAGATTCAGATCAGCTTCAGTTGTACATTGTGTTTAGTACTGACGTACAGTTTGCCCTGCAGACATATCGACATGTCATAGCAGTGAACTCAGTATGATGTACGCATGTATCAGTGATGCCGCATTCCACTGAAGGGAGGTCCATGTGTGCTGGTTCACTGTCACTGTTACTGGAATACTTAAAACATGTTTAATACTTTACTGAAATATGTTTGACATCAGTGGTTTGACATGATGTTTACATAAATGGCAAAACAAAGACACTTGTCACATGTCAATATTTTATTGTTAACAGATTGATGGAACAATGAGTAGATACTGAGATAAATGATCTAAGTACAGAGACAATCAACCAGAAATTAAAGCTGAAAAACAAATATGGCTAACGTTACCTCACAGTCTCAGGAGCTTTAAATTAAATGTAATAAACAATAAAGGAAATTCAATATGGTATCACACTATCTGTACAGTGGGTTTACTGATGCAGAATGCAAATCTATTGTGATTTATCAAAGAAAAAAACAGGCATTGGTCTATGAAAGGCTGATATGCAGTTTACTTAGGCAGAAATGGTACATACACTAAGATGGCACTTTGATAGAAGCTATAAAAAAACAAACACTGGCATTCAAGACATGTTTATTTCATTAGTTATTAAGGTCACTAAGTTTGAAAATATATCACTTTTAGGAACACATCCATTTTGATATGTGGAGTACAGCATTTTGCATGACAACATTACAGCAAATACACATTTATTTTCTTTACTTATTCTTTGTATATATAGAAAAAAAAACTAACATATTAAAATTTTGAATAGCTGTGGATGAACTATCCAGGTGTGCATTGCACTCACCAAAGTATATAACTTTGACTTATGTATCTCTTAATTATGACTTAGCACCTCATAATTAGGACATCCATATGTCAAAATTACAAAAAAAAGAAAAACCTTCTCCATAATTAAAAGAAAACTCTACCATAACATTTTTTTTTTTTTTTTTACATTTTCAAGTCTTCAAATCTAGTAATTACAAGAAAACTATGTTTTAATTATGAGATACGGTTCATTTTTGTATGTTTCTTGAATGTAATGGTTCTTCAGTAGAACTACACCACAACATGTAAGTGCAATCTGTGTGAATGAGTCCACGATGGCCATTAATCAAGTTTTGAGTCAGTGAAATGAGTGAGTGGGGCAATGCAGCTTTAAAACACTGTTATAGTTTAAAGAAATAACCTGTGATATTTTCTGTTAAATAAGGTCTATTTGTTGCTTACCTTTTAAATAGTTGATTATACAACAGTACATCCACAACTGTAACATTTACACCGTATTTAAAACTCATAAGCTCACAGTTGATACCTAACGTGGTGCTGTGGTGCTTTATCTTTAGCATACAAGATACAATATCAGCAAAGCATAAACAGTGTTTTTATTGCTATACAACGGCCCAGTGCACATTTAAAAACTGAAATCAGATGCAGGGTTTGCTCCAGTGTTAAATAAGTAATTTCCAGTCATGTAGTGGAAGGATACTTCATATAAGTTTAGTACAAAGCTGTATACATTTAGCATCAACAGCTCTGCCACGGGTGGGGTATAACAGAACGCTACCTCCAGCTTATCATCATGTGTATTAAATATATTTGTCTCTGTAAAAGAGGTAGCTAGCACACTCTTAAAGGCAGTGAGCCTCCTCAGATGAAAATGTTGCATCAAAGAAGGTCATAAAGAAAAGGTACTTTTTTTTTCTTCAGGAGGTCAATGTGATAAAACACTACACTCTAACACTAAATCATCCCATGAATAAGGTCTTATACAAGTACAAGTGCTGAAGGAGTTTGAGACAGAAAGTCACTGTTGACTCTTGGCTGTAGAGCTCAGAGCTTATGAGTGAAGGACTGAATTTACATTTATATTTACATTTCTCAACTTTTACACCTTAATTAACCCCATTTCACTGCATCGCTGCCCGCTCCAAACCAGAAAAATGTGCCCACGTGCTTGGAAACTCATCTTTGGTACCATTAAAAGCCCGCTTTTCCAAATGAGAATGCAGAGCTAAGAGAGGAACTCTGAGATAAATAATGGATGTTGATTGAAGGTGAAAATATTTAAGAAAGTTGAATTTTAGTGGCATTCAATTGAATATACTGACACTGATATGCTTAAAAAAACAAAAAAAACAAGGTTTAACCATGAGGATATCGGCCAGTGATGATACTGTAAGTGGTGTGACAATGTTTGAAGGCCATTTTGTGTTTCTCGCTGATAAACCTAGTAAGGCTTTACTAGTTTCTACATGGCTCAGGAGATGGTTCCATGAGGTACTGGATGTAAGAACAGGCTGGAACCAAGACCAGGAGTGCTACAGACCGCAGTGACCCTGAACAAGCAGATTGTCGGTTTAGCAGCGTTGTATCACACTGAGCACAACTTTGGTCCAAGTAGTGTTTGAAATCCTCAACAATTGATCTGCAGTTGGCTCGCCTGGTGCAACAGAGAGTCGCCACTCTTTTACTCGAGCAACATGAAACATGAAAAAGGAATTCAAGTTTTTACTTGACACAAGGCTGTGACTGCACTCGAGGACCTCCGGAGCCCTGCCCCCCCTCCGCCGTGGGGCGGATTATCTGGCGTCGTTGAGCTGCCTGGCCACTGTCAGGATCTCCTTGGCTCCTTTGCTCAGCAGTAAGTTGGCCAGGTCGAGTCCCAGACGCTCGGCCCTGTCCTGGGCTTCACCGGAGATCTTGCTGGCCGTGACGCCCACTCGCTGGACCTGCTCGTCAACCTCCTCTGGGCTCTGTCACACACATCATCAGGGTGAAGTTTGGTATCAGAGCCCACGCACAAAAAAACACAACTTTGCACTTATTACATGTTCCACCCAGTCTCTCAGAACACTGCTGTTACCTTGTTATTAGCAACAATGCTAGTCTGCATGGTTTCCTTCAGACTGTCTGATCCATCCAGGCTGTACACTGCCCCCGTCAGGTAGAGCTGGAAAAACATCAAACAGTTTAACTTTTAAAGTGAAAGATGAATCTCCATCCAACTTTCAAGCCGTCTAAATTAAATTCTTTAAACCCTCCAAATAACAATCAGTGGTCAAGATGAAGCCAGGTTTACAGTGAGTTTGGCATTTTGCTGAGATTACTGGTCTGAACCAACTCTGAAAAGTAACAGAACCTGTCATGTTGTTCCAAAATGTGATCATTCCATGTATTTGACCATTTGCTAAATCCTTCCACTGAACAACAATTTCTCGAATCAGTGCTTGATACTCGGGATGAACAAGTACATCGTTATTTGTATCTGTTCATTAACCAAATTATCTGTGTCCTTAATATATAATGGACGTGGCTTAAGCAGAATGTGAGTGGTGCTTTAACCAGAATTGGGTGTGGCTAACTGGATGAAGAAAATGGACATTCACTTTAATACTTCCGTACCAGATACTTGTTTCAGCTGAGAACTCAGTCAACCTTACTAGAAAGCCGTAACTGGGATATTAAGATTTCAGAGTATGTTGAAGAGGAGTGCATGGCGCTGTAGTTAGAGCAGGAGTGAAAGTAGTACTATGAAGAGGGGACAGCAGCTGCCTGCCAAAACCCACCGACAACGACCCATCATGATTTCCACAGTAACACGTGCTAATGTTGGGGCAGCATAAACTGCTTCTTAGGAAATCTGAATCATATCAGGACCGTGGGTAGGAAGTCAGTTATTGCACAAATTTCCAAAGTAAAATGACGAATGACTGCAGGTCATTGTGTGTAATGTATGTGACTTCAGTGGTTGTAAGTCTTACATAATCACTGTGTGTGTGTGTGTGTGTGTGGATATCTTTACTTCCTACACAAACTGTCCTTGGAAAGGTGCGTTTGATTTATTGTTCCCATACCTTAGACAGGCCTAAATCAGCTTTACACAATTCCAAGTGTTTCTAATTTCTTTCCCTACCATACAGGCATTGACTGTGCGTGTTCAGGCATGTCTGAAGCTGGGGGATGTTTAGTAGTACCGGCAAAAACTGTCTATCTGCTTTCACACTGAGTAGAGCTGTGTATTGGCAAGAGTCGATGCAGAGGTTAGAATTCAATATATTGCAATATAACATAAAAAGATAGATAGTGTTTTTGAGAATCTCTCTCTCTCTCTCACAAAACAAAACATCCTGATTGAATATCAATATCAAAGGTGCAAGGGATGTGTGTTTGTCTCTGCCAACGCAGGCCGCCCAAGCTGTCAACGTTAGCATTTTGGGTTAACTAGCTTAACTGGAGGGACATGGGTCGTCAGCTGGTGAGGATGCTGAACAACAGTAACAGTTGTCCTTTCTGGGGACATTATCAACGGTTGCTGGCTACAAATGAAGAAGACTGCTGCTGTCTTCCTCTGTCTGACATCTGACATCATTGACACGTTTCAGAAATGACTAACAATGGAGAGCAATAAATCTGCCACCAATATCACTGTAAACGTCAATATGTGCTGTGATGGGAAGAGAAAGCTTGACAGGTGTAGCCACAGTTACTGAGGGGGGTGGGGCTTAGCAACTGGTAATTGCATGCATTCTTACCTGGGAGTCCTTCACTTCAGTGTGTACAGCCACTGGAACACTGCAGCCACCCTCCTACAACGGACAATTGAATTGAATACATGGGGATTTTACATATTCACACGTACGTGTGTGTGTGTGTGTGTGTGTGTGTGTGTGTGTGTGTGTGTGTGTGTGTGTGTGTATGTATAGTACCAGGCGTCTGAGGAAGGCTCTCTCAGCTATGCAGCGCAGCACAGTGTCGGAGTGATGGAGGACAGACACCATCTCCAGGATGTCTGCATCTCTGGCTCGAACCTCCACAGCCAGAGCCCCCTGACAACACACACACACAAAGTTTACCCCAAATCTTTACACACAAATATGGATGTAACATGGTATTGTTAGCTATTATATAGCCTTCTCTTCAATACATTAGTCATATCTGCTATCCCACAGCTCTTACCTGTCCAACAGCGTACATGCAGTCTTCAGGCCCCAGGATCTACAACAATCAGACAGTTTGACTGTTCGATTAGAAATGTCAACAGGGACTCCACAGGAAGGAATTGTATGATCATGAACTGTACCTGGTTGATCCGGTTGTCCCAGCCCATTCTCCTGAGGCCAGCTGCAGCCAGGATTATGGCGGCAAAGTCCTCCTTCTCATCCAGCTTCTTCAGACGTGTGTTCAGGTTCCCACGCTAGAGATGACAGCTGAGGAAAACACTTCAGAGACAAATATCCTCCCCTGAGAGCAAAATACTTCTTAAACCTGATGATTCACCCCTTCTCAGTACTGCATCTTTTTACTACATCACCAGCATCAGACATGTCAATTAGCGGATTGGTGTGCAGTAAAATGTAATTAATCTTTTTTTCAGCTATCATCGTGTTCTGACTTAATGTCTTTTGAAAGGATACGATATCTTTGAATTCCAGGTGGGGGAATCTCTTCTTCAGCTGAGCAGCACGGCGCAGTGAACTGGTGCCAATCACACTGCACAAACACACAGAATTAAGTTATCCATACTTTTAATATGAGCAAAAAACAAACACGACTAGTTGAATTGTCTGTTTGACTATACCTGTTTTCTGGAAGATTATCGAGAGTTTTCCCTACATTTTTTGGGTGTAGGACCACTGCATCATGGGGGTTTTCTCTCCTAAAAGCAGTAAGGAAGCAAAGTACAGTGAGGGGTTACAGCTGGTCAAATAACAACCACAATAAGATTACACAGAGTGGACACTAACTAATATTTGACTTGTACTGAGGTCCACTAAAGACCAATAAGAACGGTTCCAACAAAGGCAGACTGCCTCAGTGACAGTGGATTGTAAGAAACTACAAACATGTGGCTTTACAATGCACTCTCAACCAGGCTGGGACTTAGTCACAAGTCTTCCTCTCTTTCCCTAAATTCTTATCAACAAGTGAAAAAGCTACATAATACATTGGCTGAAAACTTTTTTCACATTAGAGACAACTAAGTGAACTAGGTATTTTTCCACCAATGCATTCAATTACTTTATACACATTCATGTCCCACAGTGTGATAGCAGGAAACCAATGGCTTGACAAATCACCTGCGCGCACGAGATACAAACTAAATGCGGAATCACTTGTCAAACTGTTGCTCCACAGTGCCCCTAGTGGTCAAAAACTCATCAAGGTGCCTTTAAAAGGGCAATTCTGTAGAAATGTTTAGTTTAACAGCCGATACAGTAGATAGATACAAAGCAGGTGGAGTTCATCTTTTATACTGATGATTCAGTAATATTGTCTATGGGAAAAATGAATGGGACTTTTACTTCTTCTTTACTGTAGACTACGTGTGTGAGTGCACTCACTTCAGCACAGCTCCGATGGTGAATCCTGGAGGCAGAGTGGTGGGAAGGTCCTTCAGCGAGTGAACAACCAGGTCGACCCTGTGGGACACACAAGAACACAGTCATATATGTGCTCCATTATGTCTCATGGTTCATAATACAGCCATTCAGTGGTGGGTACGTTTTATATCTTGAAAAGCAGCTACAGAACAGAGCCACCTGCTACATCTAAGGCAGTGGAGGAAATCTAAGGGTTTCTTCCTCTTTGTACTATGCATACTGGCACAAAATACTTTTAACTGACAGTTACAACCAAGTCTTTCAAAGTGATCCCCTGTGAGTGAAACCCTAGCGGCTGGTGTCTGTTGGTGAAACAATGGTGCAAAGCCAGAGTGGTGTCAGCCACAGATGACACCGGTGACACTCACTCATTCCTCTCCAGAGCAGTCTCCAACTCTTTGGTGAACAAACTCTTCTCTCCAATCTGTATTCAAAACAAAGAAACAGTGATTTTCTGTTACACTGTTACATTTATCATACATCAAATCATACAGTAAGCCTCACGAACAGTGAGTATGAACTCTAAAGCATGTGGGTTTTGGACTTGAAGAGCAGTAAGATGCAATGTACTGAAGGTCTTTCAAGTACTGACTGCTACAAGTCCTTACAATGCATGTTTGGAATTAATGAATAATAACCCAATCCTAACGTTATCTACTTGGAGTTTCTAAAACATGTCTGTTTATAATGTAGCCTTTGACTTGTCGCCTCACCTTAGATAAAGCTGTGTCGAGGATTTTGTCTCCTGTTGTTGACATGCCAACTGAAAGAGAGAAGACACAGAGATTTAAAAATACGATCAACCAGTAGCAGTTTGCAAAAACACCACCACAGCTTCTTTGTCCCACTTTAGGAGACAGAGGATGCTCAGGTGATAGAATACACCCCTCTAGCAGCCACACTAGATGATAGACCGATTAATCCAATTAATAATACCAATTATTAATGGAATTATAAATGAATTTTCTTTGTTTTGATATCAGCATTATATATTGGCCATCAATGTATAATGCTCCATATCGGCATCTGCAACTGAAAAACCCATATTGCTCAACTACTAAAACAGTGCTTGAGATCACTGGTTATGTGGAGCCAGGTGAGATAATGTGTCAGGATATAGTGAAAATTTCAGCAAATATGACAAAAAGTTATTTTTAATAAAAAGGTACCTCTGCAGCTTTAAAGGCCCTGCACACTCACACAGGTGTTTTCACTCAGTCTGTCCTATTAGACCTCTGGTTTAAGTTGAGTCGGCGCTATGCTGAAATTATGTGAGGTAACCACGTGTGAACAAATTTTAAGCAGATTATTTGCTTTTTAGGGAACATTTTACACAATTCTCTGTCTGTATTGTGTTTTTTCAAATAATTTTAAATTTACAGACTCAATAGGCTTCTTTATTGTATTTTCTTGTCCCTGACACTTGGCCATTGTTCAATTAGACAATTTACTTAACGTTTACTTTTCTTCACCGAAGTGAACCAAATGCTGAGATAAAGGCTGACTGTGTGTATATTGTTAAAGTTTTCGTACACCCCTTAAACTTAAGAAGACTTTGCAACACCACACAAAGCTTTGGCGACCCCTATCTGGGTCCTTCAACAGAAGGTTGGGATGATTCTCACTTATTTCCAAGTGGATGTCCGGGTACAGTTGTTTCAACATGTCCGCCACGCTGTCAGTCTGGATGCAAGCCAGCTGTAACAGAAGAAAACAGCAGTGCTCGACTTTAACTAAATTGTATTGATAGTTGATAGTGATAATTTCAAAAAATTAAAAAAAAATCACAAAGCCAGGGAGCATCAAATCAGTATGATGCTCACAGGCAGCTGAAGGAGGAACAGCTATCTTAAAAAGACATTGTTGAGCCAGAACTGTGTTATCTCTGAGAGAGGCGCTCCAGACGGCTGACTCTGAATCAGATAATTCACATTTAACTGACACCTAAGGCTTATGTTCACATTAAAATTGGAGACAGATATTTAAACCAGCACTCTGTGAAACATTTAAGTAAGTAATAAAAGTAAGTAATGATTGTCATACTGTACCTGGCTCTTGCGGGTTCCAATCCGGATGACCCGACCAACCTTGCCATTCCCATCCTGCCAGGACAAAAGAGAAACAGCCAAAAGAGTTTAAACATAAAACATATAAAGATATTCTTACTGACGTCCTCCCTGACACATAAAAAAAAAAAACACCTCTATGACTAGTCTATGTGCTGATGAATTTTCTCCGCTCTCCTCACCCTGATGTACTTGTAAGGTCCTTCCTCCATAACTCTGTGTGTCCGCACTCAGCGTGTGCACTGTGGAGGCTATTGTGTCCACTGTGTCTTGGTAAGGAGCTGGGCTGAGGTCATATAGCCTCAAGATACTGAACAGTGGTCTTTTTTACCGGACCACCCCCCCCCTTCAGGACCTCCACCCCAAGATATCTCTGGTTCCAAAAGATAAGTGTGCCAATTCATTGAGTCCGTTGTAAAAGGCTGGGAGGGGCAGCTGAGTTGGGTCTTGTGTATGAGGTGTGGTCACAGGGCTTTTGATACAGAGCTATGTATCTGTGGCTAGAAATGTCCCTCCTCTGAAACTACTGATTTCTGAATGATCAGCCACCAGAAACATACTAGCTGCCAAAGACCAAGACAGAATTATACATGCAAAATGAGCATTTGTCACTGCTGTTTCCTTGATAGAAAGATATAAAAACCACATAGCACATCAAAGAACATATTTAACTGTATAAATTGAACTAAACCATCTTTTTGACCCTTGGGTCCTGGCAGAAAAATGAAGTAAAAAAAACTGTGACTGTATCTAGAATTCCTTATTGAAAACTTGCAGATTGGTGACAACAACAGTGTCATGAAAACTGTCAGCTTTCAGTTTTTATGCACAAACATATTTAATATATTTCCCCCTAAAACTGCAGGTCTGCTGCAACTCTTAGTTCTTTTAAATCAAGACTGAAGACTTTTGTTTGCCGCTGCCTTCTATTAAATCAAGTTCAAGAATTTTGTTTAATAACTTCCCCTAACTTTTACTCTCACATTTAATCTTTTTAATATTTAACTCTTCCTAATTGTATTAAAAATGTCTATATATTTTCTTACATAGCTTTTAAATTTTGTCCTGATGCTTTTTATGTGCTATGTGCAGCACTTTTAGTTGCCTTGTTGTTGAAATGTGCTATCCATATGAATTTGCTTGCCCTAAAAGTTTTTTTGAAGAAAGGCATTTTGCTATAATGTAATAACTTTAACTAAACCCTTTTCCAATTAGCATTTAAGACAATTATCAACACATTTAATTTAATTAATAATAGACATTACATTATAAGTAATACATAAGTAATAGTAATAATAAACAATGAGTTGAGTTTTATTCAATTATTTCACAATCAACTCCTTTCATTTATATATTTTTCTGTATATACTGTACATGTGATTACAAACACAATCATATCTCGTTCTTTTTTCTTTCAGCATTGGCCCCTGTTGACCTCCGTAGACACTAGCCATTGAAGCCTGTCTGAAAACTGCTTTCAAAATCTATTAATTTAACGTTTCTACTCCAGGCGTCAGGTTACTACAATATAAAACAGACTGAATAAACCTTTACAGTTGTCAGCAGTTGTCTCTCTTTCATTCGGCAGGTATAAGGTAGAACAAACAGCAGTTAATATGACTTTTGTTTGGTTGTTTGTTTTGTAGATAAAATCGGCATTACAGTTAAACTATAGTCAACAACCCAAAACGCTGGTGGGCGGGAGCAGTGAAACCTGGAGTTAAAGGCTATAAAGTAGCGATAACAACACGGCTTTGCTCGCTTCGTAAGCCGAATACCGATAAACATTAATCTCTTTAAAGATCAAACACCGTGAGAAGGGTCGAGGAGTCTGTGGAGAATATTTGAGATATTTGGGTTTGAGGTTTCAGCAGCAGCACTTGTTTCAGCTTGTATTGCTAGTGGCCAGCCTCTGTTTCCACAGAACATCAGCACAGTATGCCATCAGTCAGCTTGTTGTACCCAATGCGGCTCACAGTAGTGTTTTCAGACAATGTTAACTTAGCTGGTGTTTAGCTTGGCAAGCTGTCCCTAGAAATATGCAAAGAAGTTTCGAGTTATCTTAGGCTGACATTTTAGATAGCAAAGTTTAACACAGGACAGTGATATTATGGTAGTTCATTAACCTGCCCGGTGTGTCGTCCAATAGAAAACGGAGCACTCAAACAGACAAGAGCATCGACAAATCAGCTCTCTACAAATTACGACGCATACGGAAATGGCGCTCGCCATCCACGAGCACTCGCTGAAGGTGCTCCGTGTATGTTACAGAAGTGATTCAGGTTCAAAACCTACCGCAGAGCCTGCTTCCTCCGACATGTCGATGATCCACTTCAGTCTGCAGATGCCGCACGAGTCAGCGGTGTCACACAGCGACCATTATATAGCATGAATTCTTTGGAAACAGTCAGCACGCCCCTCTCCCACACAGATGACTACTGCTCTGTGAATGAACGCGGAACCTGTGATGTCATTGCGCCGGTTAGAGGTCATTTCCCGGTTCCGTCGTTTCCTCCTGCGGGCTGGTTAGGGTATATATATATATATATATATATATATATATATTATGTAGGCTTTCTATTGAATCGTGTTGACATGTTTGTCTAGCTGTGGTAAACTCCCATAATATTTATTCTATGAGAAAAAAAAGTGCAACAGTTTACCGAAATCTTGCTAAATACATGGAGGCCATCCATTGACAGTATATGTAAGAGGCCATCAGAGGGATTACTTTAAAGCTGGTGTATTTTTTCAGATTGTCCTGGGGATGTGACCATAAGAAATACTACCGGTATATCAACTTTGGACTTGAATGTCAAGCAGTGCACCTATAGCTTTATCCACTCCTTCCATGTGAAGAAATTGCCAAAAGGAAAGTTCAGATGTTTGGGGAGGCAGCTGAAGCAAATATCAGAAGTACAGCTGGCCATCAAACACTAGTTTTCTTGGGTATAATAGGTAAAGGAACACTGCAACGTGTTAAAACCTCCTGTTCATCCTGACTAAATAGAGCTGTTTGCATACCCTTCATACACTGTTTAAATAAGGACATCTGGTGCTCAAAGAAAGTTACTGCAACACTGTGAGCTCTCTAGTTTTATTGTGTTGAGTCTAATCTTAATCTCATCACTCCACCATCTCTCCACATTAGCATTTCTATTTATGTGTGTAAAACACAAGTGTACATAATGTGGAGAGATGGTGGAGAAAATAATTTCCCTATTGGGAATTAATAAAGTCCTTCTTCTTCTTCTTCTTCTTCTTCTTCTTCTTCACAAGTATAATAAGGTTTTAGTCTCTTTTTTCTTTATAACAAACACGTATTTACTATGTTTTAAAGTGTTTCTATTTCTAACGTGTATCCACCATTTTTATACTGAACTCTTTTGCAACACTGGTGTTCCTCCATTAATGTATGTAAGGGTTGACTTACACTGTGTGTTACTATTTAACTTGTAGGGTTTATGTATTTTGAAATGTATGTGTTTATTCTGCTTTTGTATGTACATGAATTTATTAATAGCACTGCAGTCCACAGTGGACAACAAAATATTCCCCAAATAGTAGATAAATAATTTCCCATTTACATTCATTTATTTAAGGTGCGAATGACAATTCAAGCTGCAGCAAAAGAGATCCGATGAAGTGAACAATGACTTCTACAAAGAAGATGTATTGCCTATATATATATATATTATTATTATTATTATTATTTTATTATTATTATTATATTATTCCAATGTGCCTATGTGATTGATAATTAAAGATTATTAGTGTAATAGTGAAGTACACTCACAAAAGTGAAAGTTTAATTGATGTCTGCTGATAATAGTAGAAATAGTAGAAATAGTAAAATACTTAAACAGTGTGATATTGCCTAATGAACAATAAAGTTTATTAACGGCCACATTCACGTATTTAACACAGTTGAGTGTAGACATGGAGCCGTGGTCGGAGGAATGTAAATAAGAGGAAGAGCGCCTGTGGAAGTAGTGCAGGAACTTATTTATGCAACAAGGCCAACATGTTGGGGCCCACGTCACTGGTTTCCACAGTGGGCTGATCCAGCTGCTCTTCCGGTGGAGACGTGGCTCTGTACTGCTGCCATATTGACGCTAGCTAGCTAACAATCACACAACTTGAAGTCAGCTGTATATTCGCACCCTGCTATTCCGGAGTGACTAGAAATCAACAAAGCAAGAAACACGAGAGACGGAAGATCGTCGTACCATAGAGAGAGACCAAAATGGTGAGTGACAGTCGAGAATAAAGATATTCCCCTGGTTTTTATCGGGCCTAGCAATTATCATAACATTGGCTAACCTGGCCACTAGCTAAAGCCAGCTATCAGTTAGCTAGGTTCTCCAAGAGCGACATAAGAGGAAAGACAAACATAGCTTTTCACCGGGCTGACAGCGCCGACCGTATGTCTGGTCGCTTAAATAAGGTAAATGAATCGTCGTTTTATTACACTGAGTGAGATTTGAGGTGAGTAGGCGGCACTGAGTGTGCAGACATTGCTGACGTTAACTAGCTGTACGAGCTAGCGCTAGGGTTAGCTCCTGTCACTAGCCGGACCCGAGCTAACGTTACCTGCTGTCATATTGTCCTCAGCCAGGCAACACTGCTCTTATAAAACACTGCCTAGAATTACAGTTGTATTATCATTATGGTTTTCTAGCTGCTGCAACATGTATTCTGAACTGTCTGTGTTAAAAAGTGTTGCTTGCCCATATCAAGTTCATATCCATCGTAGTCGGTGTCTTTCATTTCCAACTTCAGCCATTGTCAACGTGGAATGAACGCAGCTTTATGTTCAGTTAGCAGAGTGTAATAAAGAGACATTTATATCAAGCTTACTTATATTCAGCTTAACTTACAATTTTTATGTCAGTGAATTAAGTGTTATTGAAACATACCGCGATAGCTGGCGATGTCTCTAGTTAGATGAATGTCCAGTCTAATCTCACCAAGCTCTATTTAAAAAATGGCTTTTTCAAAGTTGGTTCGGCTTTTTGGCAGACGTACGTACATTGTGAACACAACTCAATGTATTTTTTGAATCGCTTCTCACTGTTGTCAAATTCGGCATTCATTTTGTCTCTGCAAAAGCACCTTTTTAAATAAAATGTCAGCTTGTACAGCTAGTTGCCAGCTACTCTTTCCACATAACATCAGCATAGTAGGGGCCATTGAGCAGCTTATTGTGCCCAATCTGGCACACAGTTGTTTTTTAAAGACCATATTAAATTTGCTGATGTTTAGCTCGGCAAGCTCTCCCTAGGAAGATCCAAGATGAAGTTGAAGCAAAACAGAGAACTGTCATTCTATTGTGTGTGTTAATTAACTTTAGCCAGACAAACTTAGATTTTCCTTTCAGTAACATTTGCATGCTCAAACAATGTGTACTGAAGATCTGCAGGCACCTCTACAGTCAGGTTTTCTTTTCGCCTGCAGGTGCTGTTGGCAGCGGCGGTGTGCACCAAGGCCGGCAAGGCCATTGTATCGCGGCAGTTTGTGGAAATGACCCGGACGCGTATCGAGGGTCTCCTGGCTGCGTTCCCTAAACTGATGAACACGGGCAAGCAGCACACCTTTGTGGAAACAGACAGTGTTCGCTATGTGTACCAGCCACTGGAGAAACTCTACATGGTCCTCATCACCACCAAGAACAGCAACATCCTGGAGGACCTGGAGACACTCAGACTCTTCTCCCGCGTGGTAAGAAAACATGGAGCTGACTTTTGATCTGTCATCAGTGTGAAGTTAACATTGTCACATGGCAGTGTGAAGACATGGCTTTAATGATTCCCCTTGTCCGGAGCAATAGGTTAATAATAGTTACTTTATATATTAATGTAAATGGCAGGATAACGTAATGGGTGTATAGTTTTTCACACATCCACAAATTTGACACCAGATTCTTGTTCTCCCCTTTGAGTTAACATGGAGCTGCCTCCAGCATCTCAGTGCGTATTAATGGTACGTCTACATTGGAGTTGGATTGTGAATACCCAACAGTGTGTGCATTTGAAGTTCAAAAAAGAACCAAATGGATTTCGATCAGGCTTCTGTAATAAGCAAGTATAAATGTATAGGTAAAACCATTTATGAGCTATTAAATTGTTTTCCTTTTTCCTTAACTTCAAATGTAGCTGGAGCATGAGACTCATGCTGTCATGTGGTGCTTCAATAGCAGAGACAAAATAAAACTAAAGGCAAGAAAAGTATGCACAAGTTTGAGGCAAAGCCATGTCAAACACTAGGTCTCATTATTACATTTGGTGAGTGAAAGTGACGTGTTGAATTAGGACCGCATCCTGTAAAGCATTCAGTATTTATCTCACTTAACACTAAATCTGTCGGCAAACTGAATTATTCCTGTCATGTAAGAGAAAACCATCTTGCCCTGCTTTTCTCCTTTTTTATTTTCTGGTACTGTTGAAGTAATTTGACACTGCTTCAGCTTTTTTAAACTTTTGTAATTCATTTTATTTCCATTCTGTATATTAAATACACACAGGCAGGAAACCTCACTTGAATGCAAAATGTGTTTTGAGTGTTCAACGGCTAAAACTTTACCAACACAAAGGGGGAAATGGTATGGTGGTAATGGGGTCAGGGTGTATTTTCAATTTCATATGTTCTGACTTTTTCTCTAAAGTGAAAGGACTTAAATTACAACTCATAAAGGAAAAATTTTATAATTAAAACCTAGATTACAAGAAATCACCTGATGTTATTCAATGTATGTGATAGGTGATAGGAAGTTCATTACAATAGCTTAGAGCCTGACATCTGCATTAATGCACCGAACTTCAAACCTCAAGCTGTGCTATTAAAACTGTACAGCAATCAGTGTTTCTTCAACATGTTTAAAGTTGCAAGCAAACGGCTCGTCAGAAATAGGTGAAAGGTGCCTTTGTGCTACAGTGCTTGAACAGTCTCACAGTGTTCAGTAGTGTTTTTATTCAGGATCAGATAAGATGCACTGTGGTGTCAGCAGTCAATTTTTTTGCCTAGGCGGTCATGTAGAAATAATCTTTCAGTTTTCTTAAAGTTCACATCTCTTACTCACTGCAGGGTGCGCCAAATGTTAAAATGGTTCAGTTGTCTGATTGATCTTAATTTTTCTCCCCTACCTTTCCAGATCCCAGAATACTGTCGTGTGCTGGAGGAGAGCGAAATATCCGAGCACTGTTTCGACCTGATCTTTGCCTTCGATGAGATTGTGGCACTAGGCTACAGAGAGAACGTCAACCTGGCTCAGATCCGCACCTTCACAGAGATGGACTCCCACGAGGAGAAGGTTTTCCGTGCTGTCAGAGAGGTGAGATCACACTGTTGAGTCCCTCTGGTTTATTGGATAAAACAAAGTTTGGTGATCCCTATGGAGAAATCAGGTCATTGCTGTGTTACATCTTGAACAGAAACAGATGTTATTTTTATCCTATTAACTCTAA